AGTGATAAGAATTTCAATTTATTCTTATATAGAAATGATCATACTTTAATCCTTAAACTAAAGGAAGATTAATATAATGAAAATTTAAAAAATTAATTAAAGTATCAATATTAAAATATTTTAAAACAGTAGATCATGAAGGGTTGCTCGTGAATAAGAGTATGACTTTCTAATATCTTTTATTTATCTTTAAAAACATTTTTCTCATATGCCAAGCAGCTCTGGCACAATCACTTACAACACATCAATTTCAAAGGTTTCTGAGAGAGAGAGAGAGAGAGACTGAAAAGTAATTTGCTAGGTGAGAAAGTAATTTATTATCTACTTCCCTCTGGTGATTCAAACAGGCAATATTTTTTCTATTGAGAGATGATTCAGTAGATGATGTAATCAATCAATCAAATCTTGTAATCAATGAGGTTAGAACTCCTCTTAGTTGATCACTCAAACTTAAACTCTATGAACTGGTTCAAGGTGGAGCAGCAAGGACATAGACAACACTTCCATTTGGAGGCACTTCTCTTTCTTATCTTTCAATTTGACTCAAATTCTCAAATACCATATGTAAGCCCATGTCAGTGGACAGTTGATTCACCTCTTGTTTCAATTGGATTTCAAATTGTCACCAACAGTTTATGGAGATCATCCAGAGATCAATCCCTCTTCCTAAGGTAAATCTCTTACCCATCTCTCTGATTACATTTATTGTTTAAAATAAAAAGTCTAAAAAATTCTTAAAATTTCTTAAAACTAACAAGTTAAAATTACTCATTTTTATCCGATTTCGAAGGAACTCAAAACACAGAAATGGAAAACCAAAGTTAATAATTACTTCTTACTTTATTACTTAACTTTTCATTGCCATATGCATTTCGCTTTTTCACCCTCATCAGTGGTTATTCTATCTTACATCATCAGCGTTCTTATATTCTATCAACACATCCCACCATGCATCTATGCTGACTCTGGTATTCAAATTGATGGTATTTACATAATTAGTAATACAGTAGTGTTCTACAATACATCTCACAACTACATTTTCTATTTTATACAATATTTTTACATTATCGCAGTCAATAATACAATTTTTAACACTACAATGTTGGTACCATGGGATTCCATTCTTTTCAATCTTATTGCCGCTTCGTGTTCTTTTAGTCTTGTTCCAAGTTTCCTTCATGTTTCGCCAATGTAAAACTTCTTACTTGTACATGTACACTGTAACTTATAAATGACTCATGCCACATCCAAAGGATTCTTCATAAACTTAGCATTTCCTTTATTAATTAAACAAATACTTTTACTAAGTCTATTACTTTGTTTTCCTACTAAATTCACAAAGTAATTGACAGAATTCTAACAGAGTAATTGACAGAGTAATTTCCTACTAAATTCACAGAGTAAATAAAAAATGTAGTTGTGAGATGTATTGTAGAACACTACTGTATTACTAATTATGTAAATACCATCAATTTGAATACCGGAGTCAGCATAGATGCATGCTGGGATGTGTTGATAGAATATAAGAACACTGATGATGTAAGACAGAATAACCACTGATGAGGGTGAAAAAGCGAAATGTATATGGCAATGAAAAGTTAAATAATAAAGTAAGAAGTAATTATTAACTTTGGTTTTCCATTTCTGTGTTTTGAGTTCCTTCGAAATCAGATAAAAAAGAGTAATTTTAAACTCGTTAGTTTTAAGAAATTTTAAGAATTTTTTAGACTTTTTATTTTACATTTATTGTTTCAACATGAATAATGGAGTCCAATTACCATCTCAGATTGATACTTAACAATCAAATTGACATATATATGTCACCATAATTCCATATTACTTAGTCCATAGTTCATAGTCCAATGTAATGTAACTTCTTCATTTTGTCTAAACATTAGTCTTAAATATTAAAAAAATAATCTTTTCTTCTTTCCAGCAAAATGTTTATTAATGGATGAACATTTTAGGCCTACGTTAGGTTTACCATCAACCCTAATACAAAATCATTCTATTTTGGAATGTTTTTGTATTAGTGTTGATGATGGACCTATAAATCAGGGTGAAAATGTTGTTCCATTAATAAACATTTTGCTGGAAAGAAGAAAAGGTTATTTTTTGATATTTGCAACTGTTTGCAAATATCAAAAAATTGTGTTTTCTATTTCCTTGAATAATACAGTCTTATTTATTTCTCACAATCAGAATAAGTCACGTCAACCAACACAAGAAACTTCCTTAGAGGAACCAATTTCACATCCTAGCAGACAGGAAACCAATAGAGTCCAGAAATAAAACTGTGACAAGAATTATTGTAAAAACAGTAATTAAGTCACTTTTATTTAAAACATTTATCTAATTATAAAATAAAGTGAAACAAGAATAATTAAAATAATATATATATCAGCACATCGTACAGGAACCATCAAATTTAAATCAAAGGATGTAACCTATACTTTGAACTAAAACTAGATGATAAATAATCTATTACAGTAGAGCCTCGAAAACTCGGCACTCAATAACCCGGCACTCCGGATAACTCAGCCACACCCTGGCAGGGCAAAAATACTCTTAGATAATTAATTTTCATCATAGACAGCTTTATGCCTCAAAGTATTTTTCTGAGGTCTGTCTTATCAGGTAAATTACTGTACACAGTGTATTCATTAATTTTCATTTTCATGTAGTAAAGGCTCTATGCCTTCATAAAGGACGTACTTTTCCTTTGTTTAAGGGTATTTGGGCAGTTTATTATTTTCTGTTGTATTCTCAAGCAAACAATACATACAAGTACAGTACAATATTTTCTGAGGAAACACACATACTTATCCTTTTTTAACCCCATTCCCGATAACCCGGCATTTTCACAAACTCGGCCACCCTTCGGTCCACATTAGGCCGAGTTTTCGAGGCTCTACTGTAATAGCTAGAATCGACGTATTGTAAACAAATTTGTAAGTCAATCCTATTACTGGACATGTCACCTATAATATGATCAACCTACAAATTTATTAAATTGTAAGATTAGTGCAAGGTATGCTTAATATAAAATGAAATAACCAGATAATGATCGTATCAGTTACAGATGAAAAACATTATGAACATCAAAATTAGCATCGATATGAAATTTTAAATAATTCAATCAACCGAATTCTCAAGATAGGCTACAAATTTGTGTGCATCTAAAAACTATAGTATTTGCATATAAACATATGTTACTGACAATTTTAAAAGAATGACTTGATTACGTTTTCGATTTTTATCTTAAAAATATTATCTACAATATTATTTCAGAAATGACTTTCAAATTAATCGCGAAACAGATAATGCACGTATAATAATCGGGAGGTAACAAATAACACAGTACGTATAAAGTACACATTTAATGCTCAACTTACTTTGACAATATTTCTTGTGCGAAGAGGATTCAAAAACTGAAACAAGTTCCTAAAGAATTCGAAAGACCGAAACCAAAACCAAAACCAAAACAGCACCCGACAACCATGTGTAATGTCCGGTGATGTTTAATAATATGAAATTAATCAAGCTCAATGGCTTATAAAAGCTTATAAAGACAATTTGTTTTTTACAAATTGCAACAACTAATTTTTCCTAAATTTAATAATCTAAAATACAACAAAGTTATCACTCACCGTTTAACCTGTAGAGGCGATAGAGGGATTCTAAATAATACACAATCGCATGACACAAGCTCTGACGACACTCTAATCTGTGCTATCAACTTCTTATAACAACATAGGAATAATTGTGAGATGTAAGATATGATAATGACATTTACTGTCTAACTATAAGATTTCTATTAGTAACACACTCGGTTGCGGTACGCAATACGAGAATAAGGCAACCAAACTGTTTCGTTAACGTTGTCAATTGATCCTTTTATATTATTGTATTTGTTTATCTAAGTTCACATGTTTCCATATGATATGAGAGCATCGATTGAAGGTTACGAATGCATCGACCTTCGTCTGTAGGAAGGAAATCACTCGCTTTTCTTTGGATTGCGGCTTTATGGCGATATGTTTAAATAATTTGCTTTCGATTTTGTTTCTACTTACGTTTGCATTTTTTATGATATAAAAATATCTTAATGACTCTGACTTACAAATAAGTGACAGAAGTTGAAAGTATTTACATTTGTTTACATATTTACTAATTTGCAAGACAAGGTATCATCCACAGCTATTGTTAATTTTAATTTCAAGAAATCCCATCTGTATTTAAAAGTACAGTACGAGTAATAACGCGTTGTGACCTTGAATTGTAAATGGGAACTAAACACGACACATCCAGTGCAGTTGTAAATTTATCACTGTTTCGTCTATAAAGGCAATGTTTTCGTGTTTACCAATTATTAAGAACTATTTCCAAATACATAATGGAATGCATTTCTAAAAGGCTTCATTTAAAACGGATTATTATTATTTTTTGTTTTTTTGGGCAGCTCTGGAAAATAATAATGACTAAGCAAACACTAAATTAGTTTAATTATTAATAATTTCTTCCAATATTTCTGTACTACTAGAAAAATCATAGAATATTAATATTTATAACATAACCTCTAAAATAAATTTAGAGTTCGTGTCTATTTTCTTATTAAGGACGCGCCAGGATTTGAACGAATTTCAACATGGGATAGGTTAATATAATTTTTCGTGCATAATCGGTTATCCGAAAAATCCCAGTTTCCAATTGATTCGGATAATCAATGCTCTACTGTATTTTCTATTTTATAAGAATTATATTTAGTTCATTATTTTGATAAATTTTTACCGATAGATGGCGCTACATGTAAACCAGTAACTCGAATGCTGATAGAAATCAATTGATTTACGAAATAAAATAGATGTTTTGGGGTAAGATGTACGACAATATCTAAGTTAGGAGTGCATAAAAACATAACTGCCGAGTTTCGTAGCAATTTTGGTCGAACGTCCTAGGAATGTATAGCGAACAAACAAACATCCAAACATTCTCATTTATATAGATTTTGTTTTATTCACATGAACATTTACTTCATAAAAATAAATATTTCAAAAACATGACGACATATAGTGTTTGTAAAATGACTTAATTATTGTCACAGTTTTTTTGTATCAGTTATTTATTATAGTTAAACAAATGGTATTTGATTGCGTCCACAAATTGGTAAATGTTCATAAACTAAATTTCCATTTGAAAAAATCTGTAAACAAAGCCAACACATGTGACTGCCACACTTTGAACATAAAATATGATTACAGCCACCGTCTTTTTGGATTGGAGAGCGACAAGCAGTACAGGTTTTTCTGTTTTGAGGATCTTGTTTCATCCACACCTGGAAAAAAAATCACAAAATATAAATGTCTCTTGTAAATTAAATTTGTAATGTTGTTATTTTAAATATTAAACAATTTTTTAAAATAAATTTTCTAACTGTTAGACAACTAAAAATAATTTAATGGCTCCAATTTAGCATGCATCCAATGTTCCCTCTAATTTTTTTTGCAGATGAGCGGAACATATACTTCTCTGAGCAAACAAAAATTTTGCTGAGCAGATTCTGAACAAAAAAATTTTTTGAGCATATATATATATNGGATAAAATCTTTTTTTTTCCTATAAAAATTAAAATAATTAATTATAAATTAGAGATTAAAATTCATTTTAAAACATACTTTTATACGAAATATTATCTTTTGTCAATGATTTAATTGAAATATACGCAGCAATAATCATGTTGCAGACAGAGTGAGAAATAAGTAAACAACAATTCAAATCGGTGTGCATGCTCGCCTGCACGGCACATAAATTCTCGTGCGCGGCAACAATTTGAGCAGTGCGCGGCAGCGCAGCTTAGAGGGAACATTGCATGCATCACAGTTTATTTTCTCAATTGTTTTAATACCTGTCTTAATTCAACAGTGCCGCAACTTTTTGATCTGTAAATATGTCATTTTTCTTAAAAAACTTTTATATTCTTGGAAAATGTAAAAATGTTGGTGAATCATTTACATAATGATTTATATCCTGTATACTGCATCAGTTCAAGTTCTATATACTGTATACATATATATAGAAAGTGGGTGTGGTAATATGATAGGGCAGGTTATATACTAACTTTAAATTACAATTACAATCTTATCAAATGACATTCCTTTTGTCTGAAGTATCTTTAGAAAGTGTGCACTGGAGTGCTGTCATTGGAAGCAGTGGATGCGCCGCTTCCCTTGTATTTTCTAAAAAATAAATACATATTAATTTTAATTATATGAAAATAATCGCACAATATTTTATTATAACCGCATTATGTATCTTATTAAAAATTTCTATACTACACGTGAAAAAAAAAATTGCTATTGTATATTCGGATATTAGTGGCGGAGTGGAAGAGCTGTATTGTCAGCATCCAAAAAGCCAGATTCGCGCACGCGCTTTACAGAGCACCAAACGTCACCAGGTCACCACGTTTACTGGTGGAAGCCTAGGATCTTGAGTGGGTGCTACACGTATACCGCATCCAATTCTATCCGGGACCGGTTCTGGGCTGTTAGCCGCCCACCCGCTAGATATTTGGCCGCCCTCGCCCGATTACGTGAATCGCGAGTAGATTTATAACTTAACCCAACCGATAAGAATTTACTGGTATGTTTTTATGATAGTTTTCTGTATAGTTGATAGGAGTTTTAAAAAATCCATTAAAATATTTGATATTATTATTCCGCTCTCCGATTTTATATTACTCACGGATTTCGTATATCCCATCTTTAAGGGGATGCAGAAAAAAACGTGTACAATTCTTGTATAATGTTAAAAAATTAACTGTTACTTCGACAGCATCATTTACGACTAAATTTAATGAATGAGAGAGATGCACGAGGTACAGAAAAAGCTCTAGAATTTATTTTCCTTAAATTTACGATTTATGTATCCGTTTGTCATAAAAATTTGTCTTTCCACTTTTT